ATTTTGTTCGTGAAACTCACGAGGACAATGAGGTGTTGCAGCAGGGAGGGGACTATAAGGAAGTGGCGGAAACGCATAAGCCCGCGGTTTATGCCACACGCAAGGCTGCGCGCTGTATACCGAATAACTTGTGCGCTATGCAGCGCTTTGGAGTTTCTGGAGATCAAGCCCCCGACGCGTCGGATAAGTTTTCCTCCTGCACCTATAAGGTGGACTACTTGAGCAGCTTTCTCCCCACGGCGGGCTGGTCGCGCTTCGGCATCGTGCCCGATAGCACCGGCCAGGTTCGTTTCGAGGTGCCGCCAGATCAGGGCTACACGACGCTCGTCTTCGTCCTTCGAGATCAAGTAAGCGGCTTCGTGGAGTGGATGCCCCTGCCGGTGGGGCGTACGCCGGGCTTCCGGGATGTGCGATTGGCCAGGTCAAAGGAGAATGGCGTCGCGTACGTGCAGGAGCGTCAGACTTACCACCTGGAGAAGGGTGGCGTGGTCGAGATTCCGGACCCCGACACGACCGATTTCAACGTGGTCGACCACGTCGCGGCGCTGTTTAATCTCATCCGCCTTATTAACCCGGACCCTGCCATGATCGAGTGGGAATTCCTCACGAAGTGGCATACCATGTGCCCACGGGTAAAGTTGGAGAAGTACGACAAGTACGCCTGCCACGAGCTGAATCTATTCGTATACTTTAAGGACCCTGAATTTTTCGACGCGGTCGTGAGGCCTCATCTGCGGTGTAAATCGCGAAAACAATTCATTGACTATTTTCTCCTCGGGGATGTGGAGCATCTCATGTCCTACCTGTCCGCTGCCCGATTGTGTTTGCTCAATCTTTTGGAGAAGGCGCTCCTGGTGCGTTTCTTCGCAAGGGGGAAGAGCCTCGAGTGTCAGGCCATCGTATCGGATATCGTGAATTTTGTTGAGTCTCAGGAACCAGATCAAGAACTTTTCGAGCGCCTCTTTGATACAATCGTGACAGGAGGCGTGACAAGCGAGGAAAGAGAGGTGAGGGAAAGCATTTTTTCTGCCTCGAGTGCAGCGAATAATCATAACATGGAGGATGCAAAGGTTGAGACTCCTGATCAAGGTTCACGCAACTCTTTGTCGACACACACCAACATGATATCCTTTATGTGCAATTCTTCCAAACCTCTTTCTGTAAGCTCTGGGTACAAAAAAATGTTACCAGCGGAGAGCTATGAAAATAAGATGGACGATATGGAAGAGGAGTTGAGTGCGCGTATTGTTAAGTATCGCAGCGTCGGAACGACTAACGAGTACGTTGAAAAACAGTACTTCAAGGGTGATACGTTCGACGCATTACCAAACGCCTTCTGGGTTGACGTCTTGCGTCATTTCACGGCCCCTACACGTGAAAGCTTATTAACAGAGAACTTCATGTACGCGACGCGCAGCCTGACGGAAATGCTACTTGTGCTGGCCCTGGTCGACGTCCCGTTTACGAAGAGCCCGCATCAATCCGACACCTCCAGCCAGCAACTAAGGCTTGTTGTGGCATCGAATGCGATTGTTTTCACGAAGGCCATTCAGAAAAAAACGAATGCGAAGTCCGAACTTGACCTCTTGATGGCCCAAAAGTTTTGTGACCCCAGCGATTTATTCACCTTTTCTCCGGATGGCACAAAAACTCTGAAGAGTGTTGAGGAGTTCGTTGCAGGGAGGTTGTACGAATCGAAGGTGGTCTTGACCAATGCTTCAGAGTTGAGTATGCGGCTATGCGTTGTTCATGAGGTTCCACAGGGTGCGATTCCCGTGGGCATCCCGGAGTACACACAATACATCGACCTTCATCTGGAACCCCTCTCAACGCAGATGCTGAAGTTCTTCTTCTACTTCCCACAAACGGGAACGTTTACTTGTTATCCAGCCACCGCAAACAAGAATGGATACTTTATATGTAAGTCGTCCATTATGAACACCTTCAAGGTTTTTCGTGGCCAGACGGTCGTCAAGAAGGATACGATTAGTAATCTAATTAACAACGGCTGCAAGGCTGATATCTTGGCCTTTATGGAAAGTCAAAACCTCCACCAGGCCGATCGATTCCAATTTCAGGCTATCTACTGGCTGCTGAATGATAAGCAGTTCTATACCGATGTGATAGCACTATTGCGCCGCAAGCATATCTTTGAGGAAAGTTTGTGGAGTTTCTCCATCAAGCATGGTGATTATGCCACATTCATAGAGTATTTGCAGTTTTATCTGGCCAAGTACGACTTTGGATTCTCGGCTTCAGATGGCATAGAAGGACCACTTTTGTATCTCTCAACGGAGAAGTTACATGTGGAGCGATATGAGTATGTGGAGTACTACCCGCTTGTCGTCTCTCGCGCGCATGGA